TCTATCGCACAATCCAACGGAATGGCTGGCGCTAAAGCCNCAAATCAAAGCACCACAAACTTCTCAAAGTCTTTCTCCTCACGTCGAGGAGCAACATTGGCTAACAACTTGCCCCATGAACTCCTCGTGCACATTTTCGAAACGGCACAGAACACGTTACTCTCTTCGAAACACATATTCCGTTTTCCTCTCGTTCTTGGAGCCGTATCGCAATATTGGCGTCAAGTGGCTTTTACAGCACCAAAGCTGTGGTTGAACGTGGATATTTCGCATCCTCGGGATTGGATCGCTTTACAAGGTTACGTTGACAGGTCCAAGCACTACCCTATCGATTTGCACTTATCTTATGTCGAAACGTTCACGAAAGACCTGATTTTTTTCGATGCCGAGGCCACCCAGCTTATAGCTATCCTGCAACCCCATTACAGCCGCTGTCGTTCTATCAAATTTCTCGGGACGTATCCCAATCCTGCTTCAGAAATAGAGATGAAGAATATTCTTAGATCGATATCCAACAGCCATCTCCCGATTCTGAAGCGTTTTCTCGTGCAGTTACCTGAAAGGCTCAACAATCGGATAAGACTAGCATTTAGATGCGAGGCTCCGAACCTGACCAGTGTATTTTTACGCGGTTTGGGTCTGAGTTACTGCCGCCCTCCTTTGAATGCTGTCACCGAACTCCACCTAGCAGTGGAGAATAAACTCATCGACGACGACGACTTTTTCGAAATTTTACAGGCCTGCGCCAAATCATTGATCACGTTATGTACCTACGACAATTTGGTTCAACTTCATGTGCCTGCCGGAAATCACTCTATTTCTATGCCTTGCCTTCGGCATCTACGCATCTTTGGGACTATGCATAAAGTTTCTGAGCTGCTACTCTTGATATCCGCACCAGACCTCGAAGAACTCACCATTGCTCCCATCATCTTGCGCGACCTCGCCACGCTTTTATTAGAATATCCTAATCATCCTAAATTTCCCGCATTAAAGTCACTCACCCTCGCGCCAGCTCATCGTGATGCTATGGGACGAGTTCCGATATATGCGTCAGCATGCTTCCCCGGAATCGAATTGCTCATCCTTCCAACTTACCATAAACCGTTTTTCATGCCATGGTCTTCCTCGATGAACGATGACGCTCCCACTGAGCCTCGTTGGCCACGGCTTCATAGTCTCGCTGTGTGTGACGTTGGTGGCAAGAACAATGAAAACGTGTTACTTGACCTTGTCGCGGATCGCCAACGTTTAGGTGTGCCCTTGCACACATTATACATGGATTCCTCATCGGTGTCAAGGATGACTCGAATGGATTGGTTAAAGGATCAGTTAACGGTAGTGGAGGCAGATCTTTGGAAGATGCAGCGCCGCGACGGTTTTTATAGTGAAGAGAATCGGTTCACTGGATCAGAGACGAAATTTTGATCTTTTCGGGCCACTGCTACTACCTAGGTCGGAGGTGGTGACGGAGTCGATGTGTGATTCATAACCTCGTAGTCGACCGATGGATTTTCCGTTTTGACTCTTGCTTGTTGAATTTCAATTCTTGTTGGCAGCTTTTGTTTTGTATCAGCACTTGGTTATGAACGAACCTGGCACGAACGTAAAACCCCGACTTTCTGCGAGGTCAGCCCAACGCCAACGATGAGACCCAAGATGAGAAATGCTGCCATACCGAACATGATGACAAGAGAACCATCGCGTGGTGACAGCTACGTTTTGGAATATTCCTCGCTCTCATCGAAAACAGTGGGTCTGATGTTAACCGTTCTCGCTCGTTCATTACTTACAGGTGTTGGTATGAC